AGTTGGGATTTTCTCTCATTGAGTAGAGAGAGAGCGATAGGATTTTTGTTATCGGAGAAACTCATAATCTCTTCAACAAGTAAAGAGATATCAGTTTGACGAAAGCCTCAAATGTTGCTAAAGCCATCTGAAATCTTGTTCTGGAGCAAAATGGTGTTCATGCCCGAATCTACTTTAGATTTATCTCTATGATTTGCAAAACATTGCTTTTAAAAATTTGTTTTTTTCTAAATATTATAAGTAAAATGTATTTTTTTACCATAAAAACAGAGTGAATTCTGATGATTCAACCCTGAAACACAAGCTAATACCTTGCTTATTGCTATGTCTCTTTTTATTGATCAGTTTATTTCCATTAATCTTTCTAGCTTGCTTAGCATCCTAATTGTCCTGAAAATGTCCAAAGCTTTGTAAATATTTTTTTTTGTTAATCAATAAATTTAACATTCAACAAAGCAAAAAAACTAAAAAAAGGGTGAATTCTTTTATATATATATATATATATATATTTATTTATGTATATATATATATATATATTGTCAATTGAGTTCTTTTATATTCAAACTAAAAGAATAATAGAAAGAAAAAACAGTTAAATGGATAACAATGAGTAAAAACAATCATCTCTCTAATCAATCATATGATAATCAGTTAAATGCTATTATATATTTTTCGGTACTTTCATTGTTTTCTAGAAATTCAAGAATCAAGCAAGTGAACAACCTTCTCTCGATCCAATGATAAGTTTTTTTTTGGTTAAAAGGTATCAGAAGATGCTAAGTTATAGGCTATCGTTTTCATTGGATCGAAAGATGAGTATTCACTTGTTTGATTCTTTGATTCCTAGAAATCTAAGAAAGAAACAACCAGTCTCGCATGTTCAGCTGAAGTTGAATACCGATGTATAGCTTTTGAGTTTGTGAGATAGTGAGATCACACCATCTTTTTTCATATTTGCACATTTCATTATCTTTTCGAAAATAAATTTTATATGAGAACATGATTACAATTCAAATACATTAAAGTTGATTTGTCATATTGTTCGGAAAAAGTTTGTCCCAAAAAGGTTTGCATCTTTAAAACACATTGTGTATATGTATATGGTAACAAGATGGGAGTTTCATCTCTTTTCACTCTAACTTGAAAGGTAATTATTTATATATATATCGATGTAGCTATAAAAAAAGTAGTTATGAAATTTAGTTAGATAGGTACTTTTTTTTTTTGATAGGAATGTTAATATCATATAAATGAAGTTTTGAGGTTTTACAAAAGAGCTTAACCTAAGGTTGTAACCTTGCCAAAAAAGAATAAAAAACAAGAGTTACAAAAACAAATTGTTGTGTGTCAAACAACAAACTATCTAATCCAAAACGGCATCAGGTTCCTGAATTGCTTCCGGTTCTGTCTAGCTGTGATTGTGTTGCGCAGCTCCTTCTCGATGGTTTTAAAAACTACAGCAGGTGAAGCAGAAATCTGGTTGTGAATCAGATTGTTTCGATACTTCCAGATGTGGTAAACAGCGGCTTGGCTCGCCAATTTCCGGAGAATCGAAGGAGAGGAATCAGTTCTCAGCCGTGTCCAAGAAATCAGCGATGGCCAAGTGTAGAAAATGCAGAGAGGCAAATGCAGATGAGACTGAATCAAGCGCCAAACCTGCTGGCTGAACTGGCAAGTCAGAAAAAGATGTTCAAGAGTCTCATCGAAGTTCGAGCATAGGCAGCAAGTAGGGGTCACTTGTAGCCCCCAAGACACCATCCTGCTTCGGGTTGGGAGTCTATTCAGCTGGGCCATCCACATTGTAAAAGCATGCCGTGGGGTGGCTCCTTTGAACCAGATGGAGGGAGCCCAATCCTTGATAGAACTTCTCGGCCTAATAGAATCCCAAGTAGTAGCAGCAGGGAAATGATTGTAGCTAATACCATGAATTACCCAGCAATAGTTGTCCTCACCATCAGTAGAAGCAGGCGGATTGACTGTTGACAACAGAGAATGGAGGTTTCTTTCTTGCGTTGAACGAACAGGTGGGAGATTCCATCCAAAAGCATCACAAGCAGCAGAGACAAGAGAGTGGGCATGCAAGTGCATCTCTCTCGGGCCATTCTCACCATACCAATTGATTAGTGGGCCAAGAGAGGACCAAGAGTCGAACCAGAAACTTGCTTTATTACCATTTCCCAAGTTGCATTGTATAAACGGCTCAGCGAGGTTTCTTAGGTTCAATAAAGATTTCCAATTCCAAGAGTCAGTTGCAGCCGCTTTAAGGGACCAGAGGCTTCTGCCTTTCAAATGGTGATGGTTGTGCCAGGCCACCCAAAGAGAGCCACTCCCCGAGAAGAGAAGCCAAACAAGCTTCAGGCAGAGCATGGAGTTCCAGAATCCCAGGCGCCTAAGACCAAGACCCCCTTCCAGTTTTGGAAAGCAAACATCAGCCCAAGCTACCTTTATCCCTTTTATTTTTTCGATAGAACCCGACCACAAGAATCTGGCACAAAGAGCCTCCATTTTGTTGATGCACGTCTTAGGGAGGATAAAACTGGATATCCAGAAGATGATTTGGCCATAGATCACAGATTTTATGAGCTGCAGACGACCTGCATAAGACAAAAAATAAGTTGCCCAGCTTTTGAACCTCTTTGTCAGCTTTTCAATGAGGGGAGAATACTCTGAAACTCTAAGTTTCCTGCTCATCAAAGGCAGTCCAAGGTATCTTATGGGCAGGGAACCAGTAGCGAATCCTAAGTGCGTGATTTCTTGGGATTCACTAGGTTCCAAGCCAGCAGTAAAGATTTGTGTCTTCTCGCAGTTCATAGTGAGACCAGACCAAGCAGCAAAAATATCCAGAGCTTCAGCAATCCCATATAGCGACGAAGACGAACCATCAAAGAAGATCATTACATCATCAGCAAACATCAAGTGCGTAATATCTAGTTCCATTGTCTTTGGATGATAATTAATAAAACCAGCCGCGAAACTAGAATGCAAGAGCCTACTGAAAACCTCCATAGCAAGCACAAAAAGATAAGGAGAGATAGGGTCTCCCTGTCTTAAACCTCTTGAGCTGGAAAAATAACCCGATGTATTTCCGTTGACAGAAACAGAAAAGTGAGGCATTGAGATACATTGGCTGATCCAATTAATGAAGCGGTCTGGGAAGTGCATCGCTTTCATTGTTGCAGTTATAAAATTCCACTTTACTGAGTCAAAAGCCTTCGCAAATCAACTTTGAGCATCCCTCTCGGACCTATGTTTTTTCCACTGTAACCATTCACCAACTCAGTGGCCAGGAGCACATTTTCAGCGAGCAATCTACCCGGGAGAAAAGCAGACTGGGCGGTGGAGATGATTGATGGGAGAAGGGCATGCAGCCTACCAGCAAGTAATTTTGAGATTACCTTGTACACTGTATTGCACAAAGAGATTGGTCTGAAGTCAGTAGTAGAGGATGCATTAGGAATTTTAGGGATAAGAATAATGGTGGTAGCGTTCCACTGCTTTAACAACTGGCCAGATCTAAAGAATTTAGAAACTGCATCAACAACTTCAGGTCCAACAATATGCCAGCAATTCTTGAAAAACTCAGCAAAGTACCCATCAGGACCTGAAACTTTATTGCGCGGGAGAGAAAAGACTGCTGCCTTAATATCAGCTGGAGAGAAACCAGCAGCTAAACTGTCTTGTTGGGTCGCAGAACATCTGAAATTGAGCAAGCTTGAAAGGTCAGCAGGATCAAATTGGGGTAACTCCTCAGGACCACCCAACAAAGAAGCAAAATAGTCAACACAGTGCTCTTGAATTTTGTCCTGAGAGTCAATCTGATTTCCCGAGCTGTCCAGAAGATAATGGATGTGATTAACTGCAAGCCTTGCTGCAGTGATGCGGTGGAAGTAAGCTGTGTTCATGTCACCCTCACTGAGCCAAGTAATTCTGGATCGCTGACAAAGAAAAGATTCTTCCGCCTTTAGTAGAGTTTGCCACTTCTCAGTTGCCCTTCGCTCCAACAGAGATAGAGCATCACTTGGATTTGAAAGAAGCTGATTTTGAAGCTGAATCACAATAGCATGGGCTTCCTTCACTCTTTTCTCTAGATTGGAGTAATTTTCCTTACTAAATAGCCGGATAGAGGCCTTCAACGCTTTGAGCTTCTTGGACAATCTAAACATTGCAGATCCCACAAAATTGAAGGTGAACCAGTGATTTACAACAAGAGGCAGGAAATTGGGATTCTGAAACAGGAAGTTCTGAAACCGAAAAGCCTTCCTTTTTCGTTGCAGAGGCAGATTTAGTTGAATGCAGCAGGAAGCATGGTCTGAAAAATCTGGTGCACCAAAAAAACCAACGGAGCCAGGAAAAACCAGATTCCAGTCATCATTCACCAGAATTCTGTCTAACTTTTTAGCTATAGGGTTAATGCTCCTCTTATTCCACCAGGTAAAGGAGCATCCTCTGAAGTTGAGGTCTGAGATATCAGCATCCAACAAGCAATCGCGGAACAGCCTTGTGGGCAGATCAATATTTGGATTTAGGGAGGCGGAGTTATCAGAAGGGTTAAGAACCTGATTAAAGTCCCCCAGGACGCACCAAGCTTTTCCTGAAACCCGACTGTTTGAGGCAGTGCTAACTATCTCGGACCAAAGGTCCCTTCTAGCAGACTCCTCATTTGCTGCATAAACAAAAGATATGACAATCTCTGATTGTGAATTCGGCAGGAGAACTTCACAAGTCATCATCTGGAGGGATTTGGAGATGATTGACACCTTGACACTAGGATGCCACAAGATCCATATCTTCCTCAAATATGAAAAAGCATAGTTGTCTTCAAAAGCCCAGCCTGGTAAGATTGCAGATAAAAATTTCTTCTGCTTTGGCTGCTTGACGTGAGTCTCAATTAGACTCCCCAAAAGTGGCTGGTTAAGCTTGAAGCAGTCCTTAAAACCTCTACGATGGCTTAACTTATTAAAACCTCTAACATTCCAACAAAAAATGTCTGTATACATTGATCAGATTTGCTTGGGGGCCTTGCCCCGGGAACTCCTCTGTTGTCTCTGTGAGAACATCTTTAAAAACTGCCTTTCATCGACCTCTGGATCAACACCATCCTCAGAAGATTGCACATCTGAAGAGTCCGAAGCAAGACTCTTAGATTCCAAAAGCTCCTGCTCAGCTTGGATCATCTCGATTCCAGTGTCTATACTCAGGGAGCCTTCATGGTTCTGTAAGGCAGAAGTAACAGGAACAACAACCTGAGCCGGAATAGAGCGACTTCCTGAGGGCTTATCCACTACCCCAAGCTTCTTTGTAGACTTTGGCTTGACCTGGATCCACTGAGAGGAGGTAGCAGTTGACTCCTTTGACTTTTGAACCTGGACAACAGCACCTGATTGAACTGCTATCGCTTTACCTTTGTCATGGGCTGAGGCAGCGCCAGCAACCACAGGAGAGCAAGATGAGGTCACAGGGACGACAACTGCTTCCTTTTTCTTTGTAGATTTCTTTTTTGACTTGGCCTTGCCACGAGGGCATTCTTCAGCTGAGTGGCACGCGGAGCTGCAGGCAGAACAGACAATTGGAGCTAGCTTACAATGCTTAAGGTTGTGCCCCACCTCTTTACAGAAGGAGCAGACAGGAGGCATCCATGGGCTGGACACAAGGATGCGACAGATTTCTCCCGAGGCAAATTGAACATTAACTGCTTCCGGAAGAGGCTTGCGGGGATCAATAAGCGTGAAGACTTTTGCCACTTCAAGATTAGTCATATTTGCTGTTGAGGGGTGTAGCCCTTTGGGCTCTCCAACAAGACCTGCAATAAACTCAAAACCATCATGGTTGAAGAACTGGTAAGGTACATTTCTCAATTCAAGCCACACAGGGGCGGAAGAGAGCTCAGGTTTCTTCGGGGTAGGTCCTGGCTTCCATTTTGCTACAAACATGGTCTGGCCCTCAATTTGCCATAGACCTTGAGCAAGAATGCGGTTTCTTGTGGCAGAGTTTGGGACACGAAACAAGAAGGCGTTGCCTTCCATCTTGGTTACAGAGATATCTCGATGAAACCGGCTCCAAATACCATTTACAATAGATAGGTACTTGAAAGTTATTTTTATATAAACGATTCTAACTTACATAGTATGAAGTTATGAAACAAGAGTTTTGACTCTAGTTAACAAACTCTAATACTAGTTTACAAGAAAAATTATCACAAAATTTAAGTGGTACTAATACTAGTTTACAATATATATATTGGTATATATACAACCAATTAAATTCAAACTGAACTTAAAAATAAAAAAATACAAAATAGACACCCATTGACTTGAAAAAAAAAAAACTACCACACTTACTGATAATTTTTTTACTTCAACCTTTCAAAGTTATAAAACAAATTATGTTAAATATATGTAGTGTATTAAAACATTCACACACCTTCATAGAGTAAACTATTAAATTTGAACAATCATATCAATACTTGGTTTGGCATTATACAACAACCACAAGTGTATATATTCATTTACTATATCTAATTTTTTCTTGTAAAACCAACACATTAATATGTACAAACCAAACTATATCTGAGTAAAATTATACACACAACAACAAAGAAAAAAAAAACCTATGTACTTCAAAGCGTTAACAAAAAAAAAACCCCCCTTCAAGCTTCACAAATTAATAAAACAGATTTTTTTTCTTTTTCTTTTTAAGTTAAATCCACTGTGACTAATCTTGTTTTTTTTAATTTTTTTCTCTATAAAAAAAGCCAATGAAAAAATTTTAACGAGAAAAAAAAAACTAAACCCCACGGCTAGTTATCTCTTTGTACTGTCTCAGCGACTCCATCCTCTGCAACTTCATCTCCTCATTAAACTTCTTTATAAACGCTTCCACTCGCCGATTCAACTCGTCCTGACTCAGCGACGGCTCTTTCCTCACCTTCGCCGTCTCCGCCAACTGATAATAATTAGTCCTGTCCCTAAACGTATCCGATTTCTTGTAAACCGGTTTCACCTCGCCGTCAACTCCGCCGGAATCACCACGACCAAACGTATCAGATCTCCGGTATAACTGTCTATTCAACGGCGTTGACTTCCCTTCCGTAATCATCTTCCACGTATTCTCCAATGTCTCGTTCTTCTTCGGCTTCGTCACTCTCAAAGCTCTTCCACCTGAAAGAAGTAATGTTAAATTACTATTTTGCCCTTTGGTCCACCGACGCGTGTTTTCGACGCCAAATTTGAATTTTCAAAATAAAAATAATCGACCTAACCGTTTTTTTTTGTTAACATGACGTCATTTAATATCTAATTAAAAAATAATTTTTTAAAAAAAGTGAAGAATCAAATCAGTACCTTCTTGACTTGCTTTCATCAGTTTCCGGTGACCGAACCTTGAAGTAACAAGAGGCTTCTCAATCGGAGGAAGATTCTCTGACTCAATCATCATCGGCGGCAGATTATTCCGATCTGAAATTGGCGAAGATATGACATCGGATTCAACCAGATCTGAATTCTCCACCATAATCACACTCTTAAGCTCCTCTTCAATTTCATCTTCCTCCGCCGTCGCTACCGTATCTGTTATCTTCTCCTCCTCATCATCATACACAACCGCCGTAACCGCCTCTGATTCCAATTCCTCCGCCTCCGGATTCGCCACAACGAAACCAAAATGCGCACCAGTATCTAAATCCTTAACCTCCAGAATCCGCGGAGAAGCTTGATGTTGATTCACAATCGAATCCTCCGTATGGATCTTATAACCTCCACCACCGTATACAACGATCTCATCTTCTTCATCACGGTCATGGTGGCGTCGGTAATACTTAGAAGAAGCGACGATAGTGATGATAATTCCGTTGGTAACAACGTAAAGATACGGCGGTTTTAGCCATGACAACAAGGAACTCCAAAAGGTCGGAACTCGCGACACGGAGAAATCAACAGCTACCGGAACAGAGAGTTTAAGTAACAGAGCCATGGTTGCGACGCCGCTTGAGATTAGCACCGCCTTGACTGTCATCATCCACGAAACCATTTTTTCCGATTTAAGCTTTCTCTCTCTTTTTAACGATTGTGAGTGTTCGTATGGGGATGTGTGTACGGTACATGCTTCAGGATCAATTTTCTAATTTATATAGGGAGGGAATTAACCTTTGGTTTTATATTCACCGTTAGATCTACGCTTGATTAGATGGACGGGTAGGATTTATGGAGAGTGATGGCAAATGGGTCCGGGTTAAAAACCACCCCATTTTAAATTAGATTATCGGCAGACTAATTTAACGATGACCATGGAACTAATTATCTCTTACGTGTAAATATGTGTGTAATAAATACTGATGTATCCATGATTCATGTTTGATAATTCTCTAATTGAAAGTTACTGGTGGAAATTTTTAAGGATATTCTAATTCTAATGTATAGATTTTCAGATTATCAGATATATGATAACCACTTTAATATAATATCAACTAGAAAAGAATTATTGTTTATACAAGAACTAGCTATGAAAGTCAATCAAGAATTCTAGATTACATTTTGTTAATGAATAATTTACATTACTTTCCACGAACGCATCTCGCTAATCATACACATCATTAACATCACATACTGTAAAATATTATTTATTTATTAATTAGTTAATGATTGTCGTAAATTTTCTTTCATGTTAATTGTTATCGTTTGCTATACATGACTACATGTATGTAATCCTGTTTTACACTGAAACTCGTATTTTCTTGTATGTGACATGTATTACTTTACAGCATCTAAACAGATTTTTAATTTATTTTTTAAATTAAAAGGTACGTATAATGTAAAAAACAAAAGAGAAAAAGTTAAAATTAATTGTTTGGAGCAAGGAACATATATGAACGTAAACAAATCTAAGTTTTGGATAAAGAATTGTTCTAAAAAGGCTGTAGAAACTAAATTAATTAAGTTTCTCCAATACTAGGATGATGTTAATGAAATTAATATACATTATTTATTTAATTGTTATAAATTCATATTTTCTATAATAAATATATTAAAAAGTGATGTGAATTAATATAGATTTACACCAATTTTAATGAATTATGTTAAATGAAACAATAAACATATCAATTGATATTAAAATAAGTATTTTGTATCAATTAGTATAACTTTTTTTTTTACATACAAATTCAAATAAGTGGATGCAACAGATTTTTTTTTTTTTGTATGGCTAATCAATCATAGCAAAAAAAAAATATTTAATAAAAGAAATTACACCATTCATTACGATATCTTCACCATCATAGGAACGTAGATTCTGAAATCAAGTAGCGGACTAGCGGCCACTTGACTAGCACAGGAAACGAAGATTCTGAATTCAAGTAACAGCCACTTGATATATCAAAATACCAAACCAAGGGCATGAAAAGTATATAGTAAAGCAATGTGTTTTTTAATTAATTATTAAGCAACGGATTATTCAAATTAATAAAGCAATGGTTTTAACAGAGTTATACTAAAATTAATAACGACGTTTGTCAAATTTTAAATATTAACTCTTGAATTATGAGTGATAAAAAAATGTTGATTTATAGGGTGGCATTTTTACGTAAGTTATTGAATTAGAATTAATGATGGGCACATGCCACATATAACTAGATTAGTCTAGAGACCAATAAAGTGGTGTGTATTAATGACATGAGTGTGGGGGCAAAGTATATATACTTACTAAATACAGTAATATAAAATTAAACACGCACTTTTGATTGGAAGGACAAGAGTCTTGTCGAGAGGAAAAAGTGCAACTATAAGCTTATGCACTAAGTCTCTATATATATTTTAATATTAATTTGACCAAGAACACTTTCTTAAGTCTTTTAAATAGGAGTCGTAAGACATGATCTTCTTTTTTTTTTCCTTCTTTACCATACTAGTTAAACTGGTGATCACATCCAAAAAACTCAGGGAGCGTTAAACATTCCTAGAGTTCTATCATGAATTTTGAAGGTTCTGAAAATCGATATTAAGTGTGTGCAGAAAAAAAACTGGAGAGAAAAGGACTTAGAATGTAAGGTAAAATCAAAGGAGCTTTCAAAAGGTAATTATTTTTTACGAGATGAACAAATATAAGTTATTATATTAATTGTAGGTAACGTAACGGTCATATATATTGGACCGTTATAAAGGGGATAGGTAGTGCCGCATATGCCCCATTTGGGTCAGCACTTAGCAGCTGCAGCCTGCAGCCCCCACTGCTCATGTCCAGCTGTGCTCCAGCTCCAAAGTTTACTTCGCAAGTGGCGCCACAAAACTTTTCCACTTTTTATTTTTGCTATTTATTTAACACTATATATACGCCAGTTTTCCACAAAACTGTTATCGTCTAACATCCTAAACGCAGAACCTACATAATTAATTATCTCTTTAATATTGCTCCCAGGTCTTGCATTATCTGTTCTTCTGTGGTTTTATATTTTATTGACCCGTCTATAAATTAGAATACATTCTGCATATTTTTTTTTTGTTTTACATATGCATGTTGATAATATATAGTGGCTAAACTAGTTGATGTATAACAGTTTTGTTATGTGCTTTTAATCAGTTATTTGATAAACGTGGGAAATTCTGATTTATTTGATAAATTCCAAATTTTGTTTATATTTTTGAAAGTGTTTTCTTTTCACTCAGTATATATGCTCCTGGTCCTAAAAGGCATCCTTTATCTGGTAAGTTGAAGAAAGAAATGATTTAATTTAAACTAACCTGATTCTCCACCCACAATTTTTTTTAGATTCTTTTCTTTTTCCTTGTTATTAATGTTTTGGTGTTCTTCTTTTCTTATAAATGAAATGAAAATTGGAAAGTGCAAACGCGTGAAAAGCCGACCATATAACGCTCTTTTAAAATTTTATTTCTTAAGATTTGGTTGCTTTTACTATATCCGGGAGAGGATATATAAAGTTTGTTCTTTTGTCATCATTATGTATTTTATTTGTTTGGTTTCAAAAAAATTGTTGGTCGGTCTACTAAATCAGCTTGAGCTAGCTAGGGTTTTGTTCATTTGTACATCGATTTCAATATTTCCAGTTAAATCGGTTGTATATGATAAATTGATAAGGTACGAGGTGAATTTTTATTATTTTCGTGGCTCGATAATAGTGTGTATTACTTCCAATCACTCTCGATCGATCCAGTCTAGTCCAATTTTTGTTTTGTTAAAAAGTCTAATCCAATTCTTTAGTCAATCAAAACACATGTTTCTCTAACATGTAAGTGTAATTAGGATTTAAATAAGATCGATACTTCTGAGATAGATTCTGGCACAACAATGAAACGAGCTTTGTTAGCACTTATCTAGTAAACCACAAATATATAGTACTAATCTATTTACGTGTATGCATAAACGCGTAACCTTATAAGAGATATTATAGACACAAGTTGATGATACAACCACAGCATAAACTTGGGTTGGCTTTAGTGTGAAAAGCTGCAAATGGTTGCACCATAATCTAAGACATTACTGAATCAGAGTCTTTGGCTAGAAATTTCGTAGAAACTGCGAAAGAACAAAACGACAACGTTTTTTCAACTGTCAAGTTTGACAACTGTTTTCTAGCTAGTGATGGGTAACCCTCATTTTCGTCCAACGGAAATAGACTCTGTGAGTTTCTCAAGCTCCACGAATTTACGGACAAAACTCCACGCGTCGTTCACAAAGCTTATGTTTAGACGTTACGCGCTTGAGTTTGCGAGTGTGGATGATGCCATCTTGTTCCGGTAATTTCTCGAGTATCATCACAACGGTTTTAAGGAGAATCTATATGAAGATCCGTTACTTGTGCACCGGCCAGGGCTAATAAGATACGACACGTGTCGTTTTAAAAGACGTTGAAATTTTGGTCGACTCTCGGTTGTTCGACAAAGATAATGTGAATAAATTACGGGAATGGATAAAATCGGTATGTAAGGAGACAAATGTAATAAATGATGATACATACTAATCTTTGAGTCTTTGACTGTTCTATAACAAAGAAAGGAAATGAGAATTTATTAAGTAATTAACTAGAATATACGATAAGTAGATAGATTAACGTACCAACTAAATTATCCTCAATGTGTGTTTTGATAAGTCAAACACGCGTACGAGGTAGTTAATCAATTCTTTAATACTCTGCCCAAAAAGTACTTAATTAGCCTTTTTTTTTTTTTTCTATGATTGTAACTTGGCTGATTTCAATATGTAAAAAGATTAACGATTGTTCTAGTCTAGGTGAATGGGTTTTGTGTGTTGTGACAATGTTTACTACAAGACTAATGCCCTATATAAATAGTTTGGAATGGTCTAAGCGTGGTCACAATGGTCATTTGATGATGTATTTTGATTTTTATGTTAAATAATACAGTTTTACAGCGACGGTTAAACAAAGTCTTAACTAGTGATCCACTAGCAAACTCCAACAGGTCTTCATTATGTATGAGCCCATGACAAATTATTTATGAATGTCCAAAAGTCAAAGAAACAAGTTTGGAGGTAAAACTTCTAAGCATATTATTTAGATTGAATAACTAAACAAAAGGTGCTCATATATTCATTCTAAGTCTAACAAAGATCCAATTCCAAATGATATTTCATCGATATCAGACTAATAATACAAACTAAAACCAAATGCAAACGTTTTGACATATGAATGAACAAAGATGTAGAATCTTCTGGGCCTACCATTTGGGTTGAATAGCTTCCACCATAACCTTTAATCTAAAGATTGATACTGGACTGGGCTCAATTGGGTCTAGACTCAACCGAGCTATGAAAATAAAGGGTTACTGGGCCGAACTCCAACATAGATGGAGAAGGCGGTTCAAATAAACGAGTTTTTAAGGTTTCTTTTTAAGGATTTCTTAAGGACCTAAAACTTTGCTTTTTTTGACATAATAGAGTCATAGACTATCTTATCTCTGATGAAAAAAAAAAAAGACTATCTTATCTCTGACAGAGATACATGAATCAGAGATTTGTTGTAAAATATGAAAGTTGGATTCAAATGCAACAGCTTTCTCTATGACTGAACATTAACAATTACGACCTGTGAATCTCAAAAACCAAAGGCAAAACCGGACCGATTAACCAAACCGGGAGAAATCAGAATTATTTATTATGTTTCTTTTCCTTCGCATACATTTGTTTCATTACGCAACAGAATCACACTCGAGTTTGTTATAGTGAAGCCATGATTACACAATCCATCAAGCCATGATTACACAATCCATCAAACTAATCTTTTCCTTCGCATACAACTGGAGTCGGGATTCTTTAAAGTATGTATTAGTTTGGCGAGTCCCCCAATAGGTGCTATAATCATCACTAGAACCCCAAGAATGATGCAAATCTGACAAAAATAAATAACATGTATTATTATTAGCTATAACAAGATTACCATCAATTGACAATAATAATACCAAAGGGGGGAGTTCCACTTACCCAATTGATACACCATGACAGACCAAATCTCTTTGGTTTTTTCAATATCAACCATATGATGCAAGGGATCTGAAAGAGAACATCATTATATTTTGTTGAAGGCTTCATACTATGTTGATGATAGAGTTTAAGAGCTTACAAAGTATGTGGTCGGGGCAAATACGAATCCTCCAAAAAATGACAGCAAAGCACTGAAATATGGTAGAGCGACTGCTATCCCCATCGTGGCGGCTGCGATATATATACAAGTTAGATAGTCTTTCTTTGAAAAACATGTAATCTTGCCAAGATTATCTTGGTAAGAAAATCACAGAGACATACCCACAAAAGTCCAGCGGATGGTATACCGTAGAACTCTTGTTGGATTGAAGTGCCATTTCTTTATCATTACAGATTCGATCATATCAAACACGGGCATTGCGTACACCTAGGAAAAAAATGAAGGTTTTTATTTATTTTAGTAGTTACAAGTTATTTAATAAATAAGGCGTTTCTTGGTATGTATACCTGGTAGCTTCCCATGAGATGTATAACCACAAACATGTTGGCCACAATCATAAGTCCGGTGGGATCCCGGAGCGATTTGAGAATGTTGTCTGCAACGTTGTTTCCAAATATCCAAAACCCTACAAGAGCCACAGGGAAGTAACAGAAAGCTACAATAATGTAGGCTACGATGGCTCCCTTCCACATGGGTCGTTTTGATGGATTTTCTGGCGTTGATGGAATCGTTGCTTGAATTTCTAAAACAACGTTGTGACCTGCATATGCAAAAGCCATCTCCCCCAATGCACCTAAGAAGCCTAATTGCACTGAGGTATTGTTTTTCTTTTTATATCCGTATTCTACATTCTCCACGACACCCTTTGTCAGTGAAGCTATCCAAGCAATTGTGGAATAGCTGTGAGAAAGTAATAAAACATTTGTGAGAGATTTTTCATGTTATGTTTGCACAAGATGTTGTACAAATCTTATTATATAAAGTTGGGTATTCAAAGTTGCTAACTCATGTGATAGCGACATTTTGAAGTAACACACATAAGATTGTTGCCACATATCTAATTTAAATTTATTAATATATTTAAAGATATATTAGTGGTGTTTTGCTCTTTTCCTTTTAGTATTATTGGTTTTGAGAGTTTTCTTTTTCACGTTAGGTTTTAAGATTTTTTTTTTATGCAATGTATTGTGGTCTATATAAGGTCTATTCTTCTGAGAAAGGCTTGGGTTAAGAGGAAGTTTATAACTAATTGATTCTCTAGTTCTAAGGCTGGATTACTCACCACATGTTAGTTACTCGAGGTAAAGCTAAAGCACAAGCTCATATCAACATATAAACAAAGAGGAGGAGATTCACTTACCTCATAGACATGACGGCAGCTACCAAAGAGACACCAGAAATGGAGTTGAAATTTTCTAGAAGAGAAAGCACAAGTTGTGAAGAGGCAAAGATCAAAATGAAGTGTACGACTTTCAACTTTCTGCACTCGTGTTCTCCCACAGAAATTCGATGAATATTTTTCAACGATTCACCTCCTGTCACCATATAGACTATGCAAGCACTGATTTCAACAAGAAGTTGTAGCGGCACTATGATGTACAAACCAAGCTTTTCGCCAAAGGCTGCTTGGCCCAGCTCATGGTACCTATCAAACCGTTTCCCTTTAAACATTTCGTGCATCTCAATCATTTGCCAGAATGTGTACAACGTTATGACCCATGACAGGATCAACACCACAACTCCAGGTCCCCTAAAAACAAAAGAACCTTTTTATATCTCCAGACTCTTAAAATGTGTTTTTTTTTTCAGAATAAAAGATATATACCATCCAAGTTCTGACATGGCGTAAGGAAGACCAAGAACTCCAGCACCAACTATGGCAGTGACGTTGTGGAAAGCCGAATAGTACCAATTGGCATTTCGTGATGCGGTGATTGGAAGCCAATCTTCCAGCTCAAATGATTGATCCTGTAAGTAAGTCTCTAACAGTTTTATGTTTCCAAATTTCCGCACGCAAAATTATCATCGTACGACACATCAAGAATCAAGAGGGTAACAAACTCTTTCAAGAACAAAGTTTGTAAATTCATAAACATGATCATCACAAAGAGCATACCTCCACAAGATCTTGGTTTAGGATTTGGTTTGGTGAACTTGGATTTCCTCTCATTGTCAACTTTGGAATTTTGTGACTTGCGAGACAATCTTTCTAATTTTCTCGGTGGTTCCAAAAGTTGTGTGCACGAGAGACAGAGAGACAGAGAGAGAGGGAATAGAAGTTGACTTTTACCTCACTGAGGAAGATTATATTATTTGAAGTTTATTAGCTGGTTCTTATCACGATTTTAAAAGTCAACGGATTTTCATCTTACTATAAATTTCATTGACCTGTTCCTGATTTTTTTTTTTTTTTTAAATTACCTAAAATTTTGTTTGTTGTTCACCATTTTTTTATTCGCACTGAAATGTTCGTTGATTGGATACAATGTTCATAAATGTTCATCAATCTTGGGAATGATGTAAACTAGACTCATGTTTGTAAGAAAATTGAAATTGGGCCTTGAATTCACTATTGGGCTAGCTTTATTCAACGAGCCTCGTCATTGTAAGGAAATGTTTCTGTCCCACATCGGAACAATTACTAGTTTGAGACCTATCGAGACTACTATTAAGAGCGTGATGGACAACTACTGGAAAACTTGCCTTAAACTAATGAGTAAGGAAAACAAAGCGTCCGGTGAGAACCGGTCGCAGCGCTAATCGTAAAACACCAAAGTGGCGCAAGAATTTATGGAGGGGTTATAGGCTGGCCGATGTGTTGACGCTGCTTACTTTGCAGAACTCACCTCGTGCGGGCCTCCCTACACCCATCCCCCAATCATCCCTAGTTCCCAAAATTTTGTTGTAATCTTTTTATGGTCGATAATTGTATGATTGTTTTAAAAAGTTAGCGAATTTTTGAAGATTTTGAGGCAATTAGGAGATTTAGGGTTTCATAATCGGCAGGTTTAAGCCATCTTCCTGATTTCTGATAGATTCGCTTATTGTGAGTTTTCGAGTATTTGCAACTTTCGTCCTTAAAATTGTCCTTTTCTTGAGAAAACACACATCACTAATTATTTGTCTTGTTAAATTTTTCAATGATTGTTGCAGTGAATCTTCGTGTAAAAATGGAAGAAGAAGAAGATCAATTAGTGAACAGTCCGAGAAGAATCTTAAGCTTGAATCAAGAAGCTAGTGAAGTACACGGAACAAACCCTTGTGAGGTTTATGGATTTGTAGGATCCATTTCGATTGTTGTTGCCACTGTGGTCTTCTTGATTTGGGCTTATGTACCAGATAAGTTCTTAGAGTCTTTAGGCATTTATTACTACTACCCGAGCAAGTACTGGGCTATGGCGATGCCGATGTATTTGATGGTGACTCTGTTGTTAGCTTTGGTGTTTTACATTGGTCTCAACTTCATGTCTACTTCAACCACAACCTCTTTCAATACTCTGTTTGGTGAGTCACCGACTCATTTCACTTTTGTTGATAGACAAATTGTTTGAGATATAAGCTAGAAATGTTTAAATTTTCGGAGTTTGATTGCGATGATTGAATTGTTTGGTTATTTTGGTTGTTGTGGCAGATGAGTACAGCAGAGAAGATGTGGATTTTCTTTCTTTGATGAAGAATGGGGATGACAGGCCAATAGATCCAATCTCTGACATTGATATTACAAGAATCAACGATCTTATGTTCGATTCACACCTTGCCAAGTGAAGGCCTTTGTTCGAATTTCGCTGAGGTAAGTAAGAGGATCAAATTAGTGTTTAGGAAAAACCGGACCATTTGGTATTACTAAGTTGAGGATTTGATGGTTGTTTTTGTGTTTATGTCTCTATTTGTACATTTAGAGTGTTGTTGTGAAGTATAGATGGGATTTGTGTGCTAGTGATTCGGGCTTTAGAATTTTGTGGAGAGATACTGGTTTTGGTGTTTACATGAAAAAACATTGTTGCTACTTTTGAGTAGAAAACCAGGGAATGCGATTTTGAGTATCATTTAGGATAAGTTACTTTATTCTTGATTTTGTAAGCTATCTAGTATTTCCATTTTTCTATTTCCTTTTCTTACTTCTTAGAGTGCTATGCTTATATAAATAGGAATGAGACCTCATTTGTGAGACTCATCCATAAGAAGAGAGCTTTTTGGAGGTTTTCATCGGGCTAGGTCGAGGGAGACAACTTAGTTCCTTTGGGGTATTTTCAGTTTCTGTTGTTATTTTGATTTAGGTTTAAGAAAGAGGGTTTTGGTTTTTAATTCTTGTGTTGTGGTTCTTTGTTCTATCAGGATGACTTGAACTTTGCATCGTATATGAACTTTGAGAGTTGTATGTATTGGATCGAGCTGAGTATTTCGGGTAATATTTCCACACTGACTTGTGTCTGTTGGTTTCAGTTCACAGGGCATACCAACAACCTCGATAAAGCGAATCGATTCAAGTGAATGTTTCTACTTCATAGGGTTTTGGGTTTTTGGTGTGGCTTGTTTTGTTTTTTACAAACTATTCTTAGTAGATTTGCTAATTTGGTTAACAAATGTTGTCATTGGCTAATTTTGGGTAATTCCCAAAACTGGTCGTCTCTCTTCTCCAAACAAAACAAAACCAACTTTTCTAACAAAACTAGTTGCGAACCTCTTCCAAAAAAGGAAAAAAACCCTTCCCATCTTCTTCCTCCTCCACAGGCAGAGAGGATGATGATGATCTTGGTTAAGATCATCGTCTCTTGAACCCAAAATAATTTTCAGATAGAACTTGTTTCTGTATATAATTGCATAAAGATTTGTGAATCTTTTTAAAAGCAAAAAGGACAAAATGAATGATTTATTCTCTAGTTCGTTCAAGAAGTACACGGACCTGAAGCAACAGGCCCAAATGGATGATGTTGAGGCAGGTAAAGAGACGATGAACCTCGATAAATTCTTTGAGGATGTCGAAAATGTCAAAGATGACATGAAAGCCGTAGAGACTCTTTACAAAAGCCTTCAGGATTCGAACGAAGAATGCAAAACGGTACACAATGCCAAGAAAGTGAAGGAACTCCGAGCAAAGATGGATGGAGATGTCGCTCAGGTTCTCAAGAGAGTCAAGATCATCAAACAAAAGCTCGAGGCGCTTGAAAAAGCGAATGCTAATAGCCGTAATGTCCCTGGTTGTGGCCCTGGCTCTTCCACCGATAGGACCAGGACGTCTGTTGTTAGCGGACTCGGGAAAAAGCTTAAGGACTTGATGGATAGTTTTCAAGGTCTGCGTGCGCGGATGAATGCTGAGTATAAAGAAACCGTAGAACGCAGGTGAATAAGATCTTTCTCCATTTTCCTTGCTTCTTGATGGATACATTATTGCTCTGTTTTTTTTTCCTTGCTTCTTGTACTAAAAGATAAGTTTGATGTGTTGCAGATATTTCACGATAACCGGAGAACAGGCAGACGAACAGACGATTGAGAACTTGATTTCGAGCGGTGAAAGCGAGAATTTTCTCCAGAAAGCGATACAAGAACAAGGGAGAGGCCAAATATTAGACACCATATCAGAGATTCAAGAGAGGCACGACGCAGTGAAAGAGATAGAGAAGAATCTTATAGAGCTTCACCAAGTGTTCTTAGACATGGCGGCTCTGGTGGAAGCACAAGGTCAGCAACTAAATGACATAGAAAGCCACGTGTCAAAGGCGAGCTCGTTCGTGAGAAGAGGGACAGACCAGCTTCAAGATGCAAGAGAGTACCAAAAGAGCTCGAGGAAATGGACTTGTTATGCCATTCTTCTCTTCATAGTCGTTTTCGCTTTGCTTCTCATACCAGCCTTGCCTCATATCATGCTCATGTTGAAGTGATTTTTTTGGATAGAATCTTGTCTATAATTGTTTGTTCTCATCTTATTCTCAATGGTAAGTTTAGCTCTTTTTTTTTTGAACTTTTTAAGAGCGGTTTATTCTAAATATTTTTATAAGTTTGAACAAAAAGAAAAAAAAAAACTTAATAAGAATTCTATTTGAAAATAGGCAATTTGTGTAGTAGTGATTTGTGTATTTGAAGCGATTTGTGCATTTTAGATAGGGTATCTAAGAATAAAAAGATAAATAAAAAATTTAAAAAAAAAGAAAGAGGGTGAGATATTTTATAATATCTTTTATAACAGGCGTTTAATAACCTTGTCCTTAATCTTATTGGTTTATATTTTATATTTTAAATTAAAATATATATAATTAAAAAGTATTAAAATAGTAATATTTAAACGTTTAGGTACTAATTAAGATATGTTAACTGATAAAGATGCTCTTATATACGCTTACATTTATATATAGTTACTCCCTCCGTCCCACAAAGATGGATTTTTTGGAAAAAATGTTGTCCCACATAGATAGAAGTTTTATGTTTTCAATGTAAAATTTAAAACGATTTACCTATTTTACCCTTATTAAATAATAATAAATAATACACTTTTTAAAATGTGTTAAAGTGTTAAAAGTTTAAAATTGTCATTATACATTTATTCTTAAAGAATGTGAAATTTCTACAAAATCTATCTTTGTGGGACGGAGGAAGTATATACTAAGATATATAACTGCAGAATAAACAAAAAAAAAAGAGTTAATGACATATGTATATATATGGAAAAATGTTTAGCAAACAATTTCTATAGAAAAATATTAATTTTTTTGGTAAAAAAAGTAGCACAACATTTAATAGATAAGTAATTATGTGAGCAAAAAAAAAAGTATATATCCGTATACATTAATTAATTCACATAAGTAAACGTGATTTTATTTTCCCTCTAAAGGTAAACCAGCCTTTTTCTGAAAATTAACATCATATTAAAAAGTCTAGTAATTATTATTGTATTTTTTTAAAAGATAAAAGCAAAAAATACTAAATTTAAGTAAAACAAAAGAAATCATATATTGAAAAAAAGAAGAAGCAAATCATATGTATATGTTTTTGGTTTTAGTTTTTTCAAAAATCTACTTTATAGCCAATCAACATTACGAAAAAATTGGGTTTTTGTAAAAATAGGGAATCTAGATTTTTTTTGTCAATTTTCAAAGAAAATCTAAAATCTATGTACGTAACCTGACTCTTTTTTTCATTTTCAGTTTTTGAAATATTTTTAATACTAAATCTGAAACCCATAAACCAAAAAGTATAGTTTATCATAATAATATGTATATATAATATATCCGTAAACACACTCATCATTGTTCTATTTGTTCGCAAAACACACAATGGAGAATCATAAACATATACGAGGTTGGATCTTTTATCTTATTTGGCAGACAATAAAAACATTAAAAAAGTTGCATAAGTAATATGCCCATAAAAAGATGAATAAAAGATATGTGGAGAAAAAAATAAATGGATTAATGGTAAAAGCCTCCTAGGTTTATGGAGAGAGTAGAGAGAAAGAAGGAAAATTGGGATAAATAAAAGAGAACAAATAAAAAAAAAATGATGAAGGCTGGAGTTTGGGAATCGAAAAAGGAGAGAGAAAGAGGGAGGATATAGATAAAGGAAAGAGAGGGTAGTTCGGTCTTTTGATTTTGATGTTGTGGCAATTGGAAAAATGGCAAACACAATATGAGATATCTGATAAGTTTTTGAATAGTATGAGACATTCTTCTTAATTTTCTCTATCATAAACATCAATAAGAATATCTTTTATTTCACCAACATGATCCATCCAATGCCACTAATTCGATCATGTCCGGTTCGTAAACCATTTAATTGGCAATGGAACGGATGGGCTGGGCTTGGCTTATATACCCACAACAACATGTTTATTGATAGCTATACAACGCATAGCCATGAGCAATCCAAAAAGCTCTTCGTTTAGTAGGTTAGTTATTCTTATGTTTGAGTTTCTTTATAATTTGTTTATATAGTTTTTGTATAATCTATGTAATAAATCTTTTAATTGAAGTAAGATGTTGTCAAATTAAAAAAAAATTAAAAAGTCGAATACACATCTTAAATAAGAAAAAGGAGAAAATTAGCACTACCAAAACCGTAGTTAATTCATTGTTGAAGTACGTAAATATTAATCATGAACTTCTATAACTGAGAAATCATTAGAAATAGAGATCATTGTGAATGGTGAAGAAGTCAATGTATTAGAAAATGGCTAAGATGAAAAAAAGATTTTAAGAAAATGTGTAAAAGCGGCCCATTTGTTTTTCTTGTTCCGGCCTTTTAAAGCTAGGGGTTTAACCGTAATTAGTTTTGACCTAGAATCTTCAGTATCCTCCATATATATACGTGTATTTGTTTGTGTCAAAAATCATACAATTTAGATTCGTATGATAGTTTTCGGAAACCTAAAATACCTACACAAATTTTTTCTTTTCAAAACCCTCGACTCTTTTTTTTTTATTTCTTCTTCTCTGGCCGCCAACTTTTCTTTTTTTCTTCTCCGATTTCCCCCTGTCAGTGAAACAATCACCACTGCCTTATTACGCTATCTCTCTAAGAGGTAACCACATCAATTGATGAATGGTAGTGATTAGATCGTTCAGTATCGTAAATTTTGCAGTATTATTTTGTAGATCTAGAATTGGGAAGCTCTCGTGATGGCCAAATCTGAAGAGGGCTTGGGGCCAAAGTTTTCTCTTAAAAAGCAGAGATAACGATTGAACCAAATTTTAAAGAAGATCTTATTCAAAATTCTTTAGAAACGATTCAAGAAGAAGTCGATCTTTTTCCCATGTTTTTCTTTTTTCATGAGGATTGGGAGGGCCTAGAAGAAACAAGCAGTGATTTCAAAGGTATGAATGACACCAAAAATTTGAATAAAGGTTTTTGCTTTTACTTTGGAAAGAGAGAGAATATTTTGCTGAAATCAAGGTTGAGAGATCGTGTTGGTTAATAATGGTTTGGATTGTGATAACAACATCTTGTTAACCGAAAATGTTTCGATGATATCAAGGTCGAGAGATAGTATCTCTATGTGCTTGAAGATTTTGGACAACACACTTTTTTGTAGAAAAGATCGGATGGAAAGAAACGATGAGACACATACCACCAAGGAGTTTCACCTACTTATCTGAGGATTCTGACAACTTTGATATTTGCTTTGGATGCGATATTGATTGTGGACAAAATAGACTCTTCACTAGTAAGTATTTATGATTAAGCAATTAAAAAATCAATTGATATCTGATCTTTTTGTGTTAGTTGCATATATTGTACTGTCATTTTGCAGATCCAGATTTGAGATGCTCTCGCGATAACCAAATCTGAAGTAGGTTCGATGGCCTAGATTTTATTTGGGATGACAGACAATGCGACATAACCATATTTCAAATAAAATCTTAATTATATGTGGTTCCTTGAAGACGATTCGAGGAGAAGTCGATCTTTATCGCATAGTTTTTTTTATGAGAACGAGATGACCTAAGAAATACAATAGTGGTGATTCCGACGTTGTCCCAAAAATCAGGTATTTTTTTAAGTTGATTAAAAAAAAAATGTCAATCTTTTTTTATAATTTCAATTTATAGCTATATGCATCATCGAAAAACTTTTTAACTAGCATAAATAATCAGAGATCAACTATTTTTT